CCTGCCCCACCCCAGCGGCGCCGCGCACGCGCGTCCCGGCCTCCCCTGCGCGCCGACGCTGGGCTTCCTGGTCCTGGGCGCTGCGGGCTTATTCGGATTCCGAGGGATTGCAGAGCGATCCTCCTCCTGCCTTCCGGGCCCGACCTTCCCGGGCGCCATGGAGCCCCGGGCGGTCGTGGATGCCGTGGAGACTGGGGAGGAGGACGTGATTATTGAAGCTCTGAGGACATACAACCGGGAGGTGAGCGGCAGCCGGTGGCCGTGGGCTGTGCGTGTGCACGACGGGCCCCAGCGGGGCGTAGGGAGTGGGCGCGGGGAGCGCGGCAGGCTTGGGATGAGCTGCTGGGAAGGAGTACTTATGGGGACACCCGTGAGGGGCGACCAGAGTGCCTGGGGGCGCACCCATTGGAGGCAGGCGTGTAGGGGTGGGGCCTCACCCCCTGGAGGGCGGGCAGAGTGTCTGGGGCACACGGTGGCCAGGCGTGTAGCGGTGAGCGATGAGGGCGAGTGCTCAGAGCGGTGGCTGCATCCTCCGAGTTAGAGGCCGGGCCACCGCCACCGCGGAACCCCACGTGCACTCGAGCGTTCTGGTTCTCCCCACAGCACTCCCAGAGCTTCACGTTTGACGATGCCCAGCAGGAAGACAGGAAGGTGGGTGCAGGCCTAAGGGGTGACAGGGCAGGGATGGGTGTGGCCCCGGGAAGAGGGGCGTGGTGGAGCCGCTCTTTTCCCTACCCACAGAGACTGGCGGACCTGCTGGTCTCGGTCCTGGAGCAGGGCTTGCCACCTTCCCACCGTGTCACCTGGCTGCAGACTGTGCGCATCCTGACTCGGGACCGCCGCTGCCTGGACCCATTCACCAGCCGCCAGAGCCTGCAGGCACTGGCCTGTTACGCTGGCGTCGCTGCCTCCGAGGGGCCCATTCCAGAGGCCCTCGACATGGATGTTGTCCTCGAGTCCCTCAAGTGCCTGTGCAACCTCGTGTTCAGCAGCCCCGTGGCGCAGATGCTGGCGGCAGAGGCCCGGCTGGTAGTGAGGCTGGCAGAGCGCGTGGGGCTGTACCGCAAGAGGAGCTTCCCGCACGACGTCCAGTTCTTCGATCTGCGCCTCCTCTTCCTGCTCACCGCGCTCCGCACAGACGTGCGCCAGCAGCTCTTCCAGGAGCTGCACGGGGTGCGCCTGCTGGCCGACACGCTGGAGCTGACCCTGGGGGTGACTCCTGAGGAGAGTCCCCCCGACGTCCTTCCCCCTGAAGAGACAGAGCGGGCCATGGAGATCCTCAAGGTGCTCTTCAACATCACCTTCGACTCCATCAAGAGGGAGGTGGATGAGGTAAGGGCTGGCCTGGCCCAGGGGTGGGGCGCAGTCGCCCGATGTCTCCCCTGGGACCTGCCACCTACTGGAGTTTCTGTGTCAGACAAGGCTAGGACAAGAGGGCCGCTCAGCCTGTGGGGAGGAGCCGAGGACATGCTTATTTCCAGCAGGGCCCTGGGGGAGGTTTCTGAGGGAGGGGAGGTGCATTTCTGCCCCTCCGGCATGGCAGGGGGGCCGAGTAGTCCCAGGGAGACTGGGCGGTCCCCCCCTGAGGCTGCGAGGATGGAGCCAGGGCACAGGGTATGCCTTCCTCCCCAGGGGAGCATCGGCCTTCGTTGGAAAAGCGCTGGTAGGACATTCGTGGGGGTTTTGGTTAACAGTGGCTGCGTGTCGTCCCGGCCACTGCACAGCCCCCTGGGACTGGCCGCAGGGCAGGTGTGCGGGAGTCAGGAGCCACACCGTCCCGGAGGACCTCAGCAGGCAGCAGTGACATCCAGGAGGCCCCTCACGGGAACCCCTTTCTCTCTGGTCAGGAAGACGCTGCCCTTTACCGGTACCTGGGCACGCTCCTTCGGCACTGCGTGATGATCGCCGCTGCTGGAGAGCGCACAGAGGAGTTCCGCGGGTGAGGGCAGGCCGGCCGGGATGGTGCCCAGGTGTCTGCTGGGCGGGGCCCCTGGGAGCCAGGCAGGGGAGCCAGGCCCACCCCGGGGAGTCGGACTTCATGGGGCCTGAGACAGTGTTTCTGGAGACCCGAGTGCTTCCAGGATGTGGTTAGATTAAGAACTGCGAATTACCGGGCAGGACTGTCACCGGGACCTTGGGCAGTGGCGGCGAGCAGCGTGGTACTTATAGCACAGTGTGGTCCCTGGCCCAGTTTTGATGACCTGTGCCTAGGCCGTGTGGGTTTCCTGAGATGATCTGGTGTTCGATCCCAGACAGGGTGGGACTGGCAGGCATGTGCAGTCCTCAGTCCTCAGGGGACCTCGCCCACCCGAGCGGGCGTGCCGCTGAGATCAGGCTCTGCCCTTGGCCCTGGCGGTCCCTAGTGCTGTTCTTCAAGCCCCAGACTCCAGCTCCTGCCCTGTGTGGCCCCCTGCAGGAGGCCTCAGGGAGGGTACCTGTGCTGGGGATTAGCCCTATCAGGACCCCCATCCCATCTGTCACCAGCCATACAGTAAACCTCCTGGGGAACTTGCCCGCCAAGTGTCTGGATGTCCTCTTCACCCTGGAGCCCCACGAAGGCTCCTTGGAGTTCATGGGCGTGAACATGGATGTGATCGGCGTTCTCCTGGCCTTCCTGGAGAAGCGCTTGCACCAGGTAGGCAGGGCAGTGCTATGCTGGCCTCCCCAGGCTCTCTGCTTCTGCACCAGCCACACTGGTGGGCAGAGATCGTGTCGGTGTGCTCCGGGCAGCTCTTCCCACTGCTCCGGGCTCCTCCCTGAGACCTGTGGGCATCCCCACACAGAGGTTTCACTTCTGATCACCACGGGGAAGCGAGCTTCTCGGGGCTCTAGCGAGGTGCTCGTCATTTTCTAGGTCCCTGGGAGTCCCTTGGGTGGTCCAGAGAAGCCTCCCAGCTCCCACTTGTGACACTTTCACTCCTTTCACTGTTCTGCCCTTGATGACAAGCTTCCCCTGTCCCTTGGCACCCTAAGGAGACCCACACAGGTTCCGTTTCCTGCCACTGCACACGGGACATCCGGATGTCACACAGTCCCACCCGGACCTCCCAGACATTGCCAGAATGGGGCAGGCCGAGGGGCCGTGCGCAGTGCCCACGGGCGAGTCGGGGCGGGGAGCCAGCAGTAGGTGCTCTGGCTGGCACCGTCGGCCCTGGTGTTGGGGACCAGGTAACAGGAGGCCAGGAGGGACAGGCTGTTTGGCCATAAGCCCTCAGAAGCAGGGACTGTTTCTCTTTTTGCTGCTGTTTTTGAGGGAAGTATGTGTGCCAGTGGTGACGGCTTTAAACACGTAGTGCACTGTCTTCCTCACAGCCCTGACCTGTAGCTGAGGAAGTGAGGCTTAGCGCAGCTGACCTATTGCCCCAAGTCACAGCTTTCGAGAAGCTTCCTGGGTAAGGTCCTGTCCCGTTGCTTTCAAGGCTGACAGAGACCTGCCACCCATCTTGGCCCCGGGCTGGCTGAGGCAGCAGGGACGTTTCCCAAGCGCCTGCTGCAGGGGTCAGCTGGTGTGCGTGTGTCCCCCACTGTAGCCCGCAGTCGGGTGGGGGCACAGCCCGCTCACAGGCTCCTCCGCAGACGCACAGACTGAAGGAGGGTGTGGCTCCCGTGCTGAGCGTGTTGACGGAGTGTGCCCGCATGCACCGCCCGGCCCGGAAGTTCCTGAAGGCCCAGGTAGGCAGCGTGGCCGGGCCCTGCCTCGCAGCTGTCCCAGCCTAGGCTCAGGGATGGCTGTCTCCCCAGGTGCTGCCCCCCCTGCGGGACGTGAGGACCCGGCCCGAGGTGGGGGAGCTGCTACGGAACAAGCTCGTCCGCCTCATGACGCACCTGGACACAGATGTGAAGAGGGTGGCCGCGGAGTTCCTGTTCGTCCTGTGCTCTGAGAGCGGTGAGTTGGGGTTGGGGGGCCTGGGCCCTAGGCCTGCCCCCCTCCCAGGCACGTCCGCACACTGACCTCCACCCCGGCCCTCAGTGCCCCGATTCATCAAGTACACGGGCTACGGGAATGCCGCCGGCCTCCTGGCTGCCAGGGGCCTCATGGCAGGAGGCCGCCCCGAGGGACAGTACTCGGAGGATGAGGACACAGACACTGACGAGTACAAGGAAGCCAAAGCCAGGTGCGTGCCTTCGATACACTTGGGGTGCTCCCTCACAGCCCAGCCCCAGTGAGGCGGACTGTCCACAATCGACTGGCTTCGACAGCTCAGAGACTAAGGGGCCAGGGCTGTCCGGGGCCATGGGGTGGGGGTGGGGGGTCCAGGTCACAGGAGCTGGCTGGCTGACCTGCTGTCCGGGGGAGGTCTCTTCCTGCAGTTGCCCGGCTGCTCTCCCCCAGCCAGGGGAATGGGTCTGCAGTCCAGGCCTGAGCAGGAGGATGTGGGGTCTGCCTGCCCCAGGCAGCCCCTCCTGTCCTGAAGTCACTGACGTATCCCCTACGCCCCTGCCCTGGGAAGCAGCATAAACCCAGTGACCGGGAGGGTGGAAGAAAAGCTGCCCAACCCTATGGAGGGCATGACGGAGGAGCAGAAGGAGCACGAGGCCATGAAGCTGGTGAACATGTTTGACAGGCTCTCCAGGTATGTGCGTGGGTAAGGACGGGCCAGCAGGACGGGGGAACCTACCACATCCTGCCCGAGGGGCCCCTGGAGACAGGACCAGGGAGGGCTTCGGACCTGGGCAGTGCTGTCGCACTGTTTGAAAGCACCTGCCCTGGAGAAGACCTCCCAGGGGAGGGCTAGGGTGACAGCCGCATGTGGCCCACTTTACTGACGGTGAGCACTGAGGCCCAGAGAAGCTGACTGCCTGCCTGCTGCCCATAAGCGATTAGGTAGCAGCGAGCACAGGCCCCACCCAGGCCACCTGTGGAAACGAGCAGCCTGCTTGGTGGAGAGGAGGGTGGTAGCCCAGGGCCAGCAGGCTTCCAGGTGGCCCACTGTACACTTCCCCGCAGGCACAGAGTCATCCAGCCCATGGGGATGAGCCCCCGGGGCCACCTGACGTCACTGCAGGACGCCATGTGCGAGACCATGGAGGGCCAGCTGTCCTCGGATCCTGACTCGGACCCTGACTGAGGGTGGCAGCTCTTCTGCTCCCACTTGAGAACTGGTGCTGCTTTCAGAGACGTCCCTGGGGCTGTCACCCAGGGAGGCCACCTCCCACCAGCCACATGGCTCCACGCCTATCTCCAGCTTGGGGGCCCTTCTCTGCTCCAGAGTGCTGTTCTTGATCTGCTTCGACAGCACAGAGACTAAGGGGCCAGGGCTGTCCGGGGCCATGGGGTGGGGGTGGGGGGTCCAGGTCACAGGAGCTGGCTGGCTGACCTGCTGTCCGAGGGAGGTCTCTTCCTGCAGTTGCCCGGCTGCTCTCCCCCAGCCAGGGGAATGGGTCTGCAGTCCAGGCCTGAGCAGGAGGATGTGGGGTCTGCCTGCCCCAGGCAGCCCCTCCTGTCCTGAAGTCACTGACGTATCCCCTACGCCCCTGCCCTGGGAAGCAGCATAAACCCAGTGACCGGGAGGGTGGAAGAAAAGCTGCCCAACCCTATGGAGGGCATGACGGAGGAGCAGAAGGAGCACGAGGCCATGAAGCTGGTGAACATGTTTGACAGGCTCTCCAGGTATGTGCGTGGGTAAGGACGGGCCAGCAGGACGGGGGAACCTACCACATCCTGCCCGAGGGGCCCCTGGAGACAGGACCAGGGAGGGCTTCGGACCTGGGCAGTGCTGTCGCACTGTTTGAAAGCACCTGCCCTGGAGAAGACCTCCCAGGGGAGGGCTAGGGTGACAGCCGCATGTGGCCCACTTTACTGACGGTGAGCACTGAGGCCCAGAGAAGCTGACTGCCTGCCTGCTGCCCATAAGCGATTAGGTAGCAGCGAGCACAGGCCCCACCCAGGCCACCTGTGGAAACGAGCAGCCTGCTTGGTGGAGAGGAGGGTGGTAGCCCAGGGCCAGCAGGCTTCCAGGTGGCCCACTGTACACTTCCCCGCAGGCACAGAGTCATCCAGCCCATGGGGATGAGCCCCCGGGGCCACCTGACGTCACTGCAGGACGCCATGTGCGAGACCATGGAGGGCCAGCTGTCCTCGGATCCTGACTCGGACCCTGACTGAGGGTGGCAGCTCTTCTGCTCCCACTTGAGAACTGGTGCTGCTTTCAGAGACGTCCCTGGGGCTGTCACCCAGGGAGGCCACCTCCCACCAGCCACATGGCTCCACGCCTATCTCCAGCTTGGGGGCCCTTCTCTGCTCCAGAGTGCTGTTCTTGATCTGCTCTGGTCCACTTTCTTATCTCTAGGTCCTGTCCTGTGGTTCTCCTGGAACTCGGCCTTCGTTTCCATGTGTGTCTTAGAGGAGTGTGTGCAGAGGCTGCTGCCCAAGGCCAGGGTCGACCTGGACTTGCGGACAAGCGAGCGTGAGGGCAGGGGCTGAGCATGCGTGCACACCGAAGCACACCTGGCCCAGAGCTGTGTGGGGGCGCATGCTGCACCTCACAGGACTGCTAGAACTTTATACACTAGTATCAAACCCCACACTCCCAGTGTATGTTCTGTTCTTTGTTCCCACTGAGCGCAGGACGGGTGGCCTCTCTGTCCTGAGTCCTGGCTCAGCTGCCCACAGTAGTGTCCAGGGCACCCAGGCTCTCACTGGCTGTGACAGCTGCATCCCAGCCCTTCCCCAGGCTCAGACTGCTTACAGGAAGGGAATGCCCTGGTGAGCCCTGAGGTTGAGGTTTCTACCGTGGACCCAAAACAGCCACGGAAACATCACTCTACAGGAGTTTAGGGCAGGAATGTACGTGTGAGTATGTGTACATTACCAAGTAAAAGAACATTAAGTAGAAATAGAAGCTGATTTTGTCCTTTTCAGAATTCAACATTTTTTCTAGATCACCCTTCGTCTTCTGTTCTCACTGAAAGAGCAAGGCCACAGAGACCCTTCCATGGGGTCTCTGCCAGTTTACTCTGTTCCTGGTAGCTGCAGCCCAGGGTAGGCACGGTTCAGGGACAGAAGTTGCTTTTGCCCAGGAAACTCAGCCAACACAATGTTGGGTTGGAACCAGGGAGGTCGTAGTCAGTGCCCAGAGGGGTCAGCCCCAGGAGGCAGCTTGGCCTGTGCAGAAGTGTGAAGTTGCTGGTGGGTTCTGGACACACAGCACAGTGCCCTAGGTCTAGCGGGCTGCTGGGAGCCGGCTGAGGTACCAGTGTCTGCCTACTGTCCCTAAGCAATTAGGTAGTGGTGAACATAGGTCCCACCCAGGCCTCCCCCAGACACAGGAGCAGCCTGCTTGGTGGAGAGGAATGTGGTAGCCCAGGGCCAGCAGGCTTCCACGTGGCCCACTGTACACTTCCCCACAGGCACAGAGTCCTCGGCCCATGGGGATGAGCCCCGGGGCCACCTGACGTCACTGCAGGACGCCATGTGCAAGTCCATGGAGAGCCAGCTTTCCACGAGGAGGAGGGTCAGGTTAACTCGGGAGAGCTGGGATAGGCCATTTCTGAAGGAGAAGCTGGGGAAGGCATCAGTCAGGTTTGGCCCAGAGGGATTGGGTGCTTTGAGGGCCTGGGATAGGAGAGGAGGTGCTGGCCATCAGGTGAGTCCAGGGACAAATGTCCTCAGACAACTCTGATGAAGGGGACACACCCTCATTCACTGAGACCCCCTTCCTCCATTCATGTCAACACTTGCAGTCCTGTTGAGACAAATACAAAGATGCCATTTTTCATACTAAAATTTATTTCATGCCAGAAAGAAGTACAGATTTTCTCTAAAAATAACCCAACCGGGCTGGCCCCACAGCACAGGTTAGCACTGTGCACTGGGAGCTGGACCGCACATGGCCGAGGATAGTCTGAATCCTGGCCTCAGTGGCTTGTGAGTGCATGCATGCCCGAGATCCTGAGGGGAAGGAGAAGAGGAGAAGACCGCGGCATGGCCGGACCGCCTTGGAGCTGATTTCTCGCTCTTCCCTACGGCAAGCTCACGCCTGGCCATCAGAAAAGACAACGTGCTTGAGAGACCCACGTGCGTCACCAGCACCGGGACTGTTTGGGACGTGAGGGACTGCTCACCAGAGGCTGGTGCTGACAGGTGCTGAACCTGTCCAGACGGCAGACGGCACAGGCAAAGCAAGTCCAGTGGGATTCTAGTCCAGTGGGATTCTAGTCCGTTCGCTTCAGTTCAAGAGGTCAGTGTCAGAAGAAAGCTCTTTGTAGCAAAAAGCTTCCGGGGTAAATAGTTGAACAGACAGGCAGGCCAGGGACTGGGTGGCCCTGAGTGGAAACATGCCCCTTCCCTGACATAGCACAGCCTGGGGACAGGTGACAGTGGCATCCTCAGGCCTCCATGGGCTGCGTGTCCTGGAATTGGGGAGCCTGCCCAGGCTGTCTTCACATGCAGTCTCACCAGAGAAGGGCCTCTCCCACGGGGCCATTTACCCCTTATCTGTCCGAGCCATTGAACTGGAACAAAAGAAGCGGGTAGCAGTTACCTGAACCCAAGTGACCCGGGTCCGACAGCTGGCTGAAGACGAGCAAGTGGGTGCTAAGTCCTCGCCGCCAGCGGTGTGGGTCAGCCGTGTGCTCTGTGAGGCTAACCCCCGGCAAGGTTCCAGTCAGCGTCTGAGAGCCCGAGTACACAGCATGCACGCTCACATGGTCCGGGCTGGCGGGAGCTGAGGTGGACCACAGTGTCAAACTCGGGTGCTGTCTGTCTGTCTCCATCTCTAGCTCATGGAAAAAACCAGCAGCACAAGGCTGTTCTGCCTGCAAATGCTGCTGCTGAGATGATTTAAGATGACCCCAGAGGGCTTAGGCAGGACAGGCCGATGGAACGAAAATCCTCTTAGATTCTGAGATTTTTAAGTACCCAATCAAGATGTACTTAGGTTCACATGCTCAAAACCCAACTATTCAAAAAAATAACCCCTTGGATAGAAATTCTTTTAAAATAATAAAGATACTAAAATCATAACCTGCTTTATATACATTTTTTTAAACAAGAATGTAGCCAAGATACGCAGGAGCTGCCAGAGTTAGTCTGCTTTTGTATGGAAGCAGGAAGTCGAACCAGGACGTCCCCTCAACCCCGCTGGGTTGGTCTAACCACGCTCCTACTGCCCTGGGAGCCAGCCAGGACGCACCTGTTTCTTTGTGTTTAAGCGTCAGTGTTAGCTGATTCTGTTTCCAGAAAGAAGTGGCCCAGCAACATGATTTAGACATTTGATGGTCTTAATTTCCCTCTACAGTGAGACAAGAAATGGCACCACCTACGTCTTAGCTCTAAGCCACACTCTGGAATGACGGTAAAAAGAATAGTGGTGTCTAATATGGAGGAAAATGTAAATGCTACATCTCATAACCTTATCAAGCCTCACAGTCTGGGTGGTGAGAAATCTGGCTGGGGCCCTTACCCATGGAGGGGAACAGGAAGGGCCAATTGTGACCCTGAGCCAGGAGGCAGGCTCAGCTATGAATAAGGAGCTTTGAGGACAACAGGCTCTCTTAGGCTGTTACACCTGCTTGTAATCATAAAATTGAATTTTAAATGCTTACTGCTACCTCCCTGGGAAATAACCCTTAAGACTGAAGCTACTGCTGCTACCGGACTCGCGGGAAACCATTTTCCATAACTTCGCTTGTTTCACAGGAAGTCATACCTAGAAAGCATCGTGGTTCCAGCTCTCTAAACTCAGTCACGTGGACCACTTTCTAAAAGCAGGGCTAGTGCTGGCTTCATCCCACACAGGTGCCTCCTTTAGCAGTGTCATCTTAGAATCGCCTCCCCGGCCTCAGAGGTGAGCTCTCAGGGTGCTTTATTTTAGGGAGCAGTCTGCTGGAATCATGCAGACTTCCAGCAGCCCAGGCTGCCTGGAGCCCTAGCCCTGTTAGTCACGTATCCTCGGAGTGGTCAGCGTGCCTCTTACTGTTGCCAGGTTAGCCAACAGGACCCATAGCAGGTGGACCAGACCGCAGGCAATAAGGACAGGGCCCTCAGAAGGCCGCGCTTGGCAGTACGTACCTTCCCAGTCTCCCGCTGCATGAGGTCCTGCATCTCTTCTGTCCAGCCCAGAAGCTCCACCAGCCTTTCCACGCTGTGAACCACATCCCCCAGCTGGGTCACGTCCTTGCTGCGAGGACACCAGGCCAACGGCCCCACTAAGTGCCTGTTGATGAGCAGTCGAGGCACTGAGCTCCGCACAGCTTCAGACAAGCTGGCAAACGGCTCCACCTGTGGGACCAGCAGATGGCGTAATGGTCAAGTCGCTGTACTTCCACATAGTCAGCAGCCTCTGCAGCTTGAAACCCACGCTGGGTGTGTGTGCGCGTGCGTGCCCAAGATCCCAAGGGGAGAATGGAGGAGAAGGGATTGTGACATGGCTATCCCTAGGGGGTAACTTCTTGCTTTGTCTCTCTGTCTCTCTGGCGAGTGTATGAGCCCTATAGCAAAAATCCCTCTCTCAAAAAAAATTAAAAAATAAAAAAAATGGCTCCTCCTGAAAAACAGCCCTAATGGAAGGAGCACATGTCTGCCACGTCGGCCCTCAGGACACACCACAGCTACTGAGGACTTAGACGGTGGCAGGCTGAGGTGGGCCACTCAGTACAGGGGAACTCACTACCTGCTCCGTCTTTTCCGTGAGCTCCTGCCGCTGGGTCTTTCTCGATCCCCATTTCCTTCCCCCTCCGTCTCCCTCTACTCCCTCACCACCACACCCCGCCAAGGCAGAGTCTCACTTTGCTGTCCAGGCCAGCCTTGAATTTGAGGTCCTCTTGCCTCAGCCTCTCGAGTAGCTGGGATTACAAGCACGCCATAGCCCTCCCCACTTCCTCTTCTGCTCCCCGCCCTTCCTGCCTCCTCCCAGGTCCCGCACACAATCCCCAACTCCTGCGCTCTCGCCTCTGAGCCTTTTCCAGGTCACCTGGTTTCCCCCACCACAGCGTCTCCACCCTCTTTAGGCCTCTCCCAGCCTGCCACAGATGGATGGCACACACTGTCTTCTCCAGCTAGTATCTGGCACACAGAGGGGCCAGAGCCACCTAGGACGTCCTAACACGCCTGTGGGCTGAGTTACTTACTGACCATCTCTCCAGACTCACCATCCAGACTCCAGAGAGGCCTAACTCAGTGCCATCAGGGTTCTTCAGCCAGTTTCAGATCAAAATTTATTTCAAGAGTAATGATGTAAAAAAATGAGTAAAGTGGGCCAGCAAATGGCATGGTGCTTAAGGGTGTTGGATTCCCACATGACTGACCACAGTTCAAGTCCCGGACCTGGCAGCTTGCTTTCTCACTTTCCCTCTCTCTTTCTCCCTCCTGTTCATCCTTCTCTGGTCAAATTAAAATAAATAAATAATAAAATTAAATAAAAATAATTCTTTTTTTAAAAAATGTGTAAAGTAAATGGTATTGAGCCCAGCCAGTAGCATGGTGGTTAAGGCACTTGGCTCCCACATGACTGACTACACAGTTCAAGTCCCAGACCCAGAGGCTTGAAAAACACGCTGGGACCATGTGCACGCATGCTCAAAATCCTGAGAGGAGAAGGGACCAGAGGTGGTTGCCGTGTGGCCACCTCCTGGGGTGTTTTCTCACTTTCTATCTCTCTCTCTCTGGCAAGCACATGCAACCATAACAAAAACCAATGAACTAAATTAACTAAATAATTAATGATATTGAGAAAGAGGGACAAGTCAGCCCAAGGAATGTGAGGGATGCAGATTTTATCAGGCTCGAGAGAAGGGATGGACCATGGAGCCCCAGTCACATATGCAAACTGTACAGTCAAAGTGAGCTTTCAGAGTTAGCATGCCAGTCGTGCTGCCTCCGTGCTCTAAGACTAAGCATGCTGACCCCAGATGGCATGGGGTCACCCAGCTCCCCTGACTGCGATACGGGGCCGGCCCCTGCTACAGCTTTCTGACCAAGGCAAAGCTCTGACAGACAACTGTGCCATCGCCCTCCCATCTGTGACCTCTGCACTTCCGTCGTCCTGAAATCTCTAAGACCACAGAGTCAATAGTAGGGCAACTCGACTTTGTACATTGCAGTGACCGTCCTCAACCACGGCCCAAATAACTCCCTTCCTCTGTGAACTTTGCCTGGCATTTCTTTCAGGTTCACACTCCTTTTTTTTTTTTTTTTTTTTTGAGAGGTTTTTGCTATAGGGCGCGTGCGTTCACCAGAAAGACAGAGAGACAGAGAGACAGAAAGCTAGAAATCACCCCCCAGGGGGGATGGTCCTGCTGCAATCCCTTCTCCTCCATTCTCCTCTCGGGATATTGGGCACGCACGCACATGCACCCGGCGTGAGTTTAAGCCACCAGGTCCGGGACTCAAACCGCGGTCGACTACGTGGGAGTCCAGTGACATAGCCATTATGCTAACTGCTGGTTCCCACTTCTGAGACTGACTCGCTATCTGAGAGGAAGTCTCAATCACTGCCTTCACTGAAACATTTTCAAATGGTTTAAGGAGTTAAATGTAAACCAGGCAGTTCTTGAAGAAAATTCAGGGCTTATAATTAAGGATTAGAAGAACTTCTTAGGCATGATAACAAAGTGAGATAAGACAAAGGAAAATAATAGATTTGATTACATAAATACTATTACATTGGTATCTACCTAAAACTACTATGTAGAAAAATTTTAAAGCTTTTAAAAAAATACAGAAAATAGTGCCAGTAACACAGTTGTCAGGCACTGCACAGAGGAAGCCAGATCTGACATGGCCAACCAGGGTTCAAGTCTCGGCACTGACAGTTTGAAACACATGCCAAAGGCATGATTTAGAGAAAGAACTTGTGTGTGACCCATTGGAGGATGCTTTCTCTCTCTTGTGCATACACACATACCCTCTGGCATTTAAAAAAAAATGCAAAAATATTTACAACAAAAGTGACAACAGTTTATATTGCTAATTTATAAGCTAATTTATAAAATTTTGTATGTAATTCACTAATTTGTACTGCTAATAACCCAATAAAAATTAGTCAAGAGAACTATGCAATCCAAAGAAAAGAAATACAAATAAATTAAAACATGAATTTCATGTGTTTAAGGCTTTTTCTTATTCTATGGGGTGTGTGCGCTCTCTGGAGAGGAGACAGAGAGACAGTGAGAGGGGAAATAAGGCATCCCTGATGGGGAATGGCCACAGTGCAATCCATTCTCCTGGGATTGGGGCACACACCTAAGAGCTGAGTTTCAAGCTGCCAGGCTGGGGACTCAGACTGCAGTTGGCCCTGTGAGAATCCAGTGCTGTAATCACACGACCATCTGCTGGCCCCTCGTGTTTTTGTTCTTTGAGAGATGTTTGCTATAGGATGCATGTGCTCAGCCAGAGAGGCAGACAGAAAGCAAGAAATCGAGAAATCACCCCTGGGGAGGGTGGCCACGCTACAGTCCCTTCTCCTCCATTCTCCTCTCGGGATTTTGGGCATCCACGTACATGCTTGTGCCCAGTTTGATTTTCAAGCCACTAGGTCTGGGTCTCAAACCCTGGTCAGCCAAGCGGGGGTCCGGTGCCTTAACCACCTGCTAGCCCTTCATTTCCTAATTTCAGTTTTTCTAATTGCTAAAGAGTACATAGCTCACGAGAGAGACATGACACCCGTGGGTGTCATCATGCCCCACTCCTCCTCCCCCGGTTCTCCATGCTGTCAGGATGTGTGAGCACCCATGCACACACACACCTGCATGTTTTCAGGCCTCCAGGGCTAGGATTCGAACTGCCCTCAGTCACATGGGATCTGGCTTACTGTGAACTGCACTTACCACTGTGCCACAGGGCTGGCCTTGAACTTCATTCTTTATTACAGAAGTGCAAAACATTTTTCTTTCACATGCCTTTTTTATTTATTTAATTTTTTAATTTTGCACATGTGCTCACCAGAGAGAGGGAGGAAAAATGAGAAAGCACCCTCCAGGGGGAATGGCCACACCACAGTCCCCTCTTTTCCATCCTCCTCTTGGGATTTTGGCATGCCCTCACACACGCCCAGTGTGCTTTGGAAGCCCCTGGGTCTAGGACTTGAACTGCACAGTCCCCACGTGGGATCTAGCTGCCTTAACCACTGTCCACTGGCTGGTTCACACACACTGACTAGTAAAACCTAAACGCAGCTTGGTATTTGTGAGGATGTCAGAAAACAGCCCTCCACGGTGGCAGTGCAAGGGCACATCTTCTGGAAAGAAGATTTATCAACATCTATCTTTATATATTACTTTTCATATAGTAATATATACTCTACATATTAATAAGTATTTATCAACAGCTATCTTTCATGAGTACTTGAGTAAAAATATATATACATGGATATTCAGCATAGCATTATTGTCATTATTATTTTGAGAGAGATTTTTGCTACAGGGCACATTCGCTTGCCAGAGAGACAAGGAGACAGAAGTGAGAAATCACTCCCCCAGGGTTATGGCCACACCACAATCCCGTCTCTCCTACTCTCCTCCAGGGATTCTGGGCATGCACACACATGAGCGTGGCATGAGTTTCAAACCGCTAGGTCTAGGACTTGAACCATGGTCAGCCACATGGGAGTCCAGCACCTTACCCACCATGCCATCTGCTGGCCCCACAGCATTACTTTTTAATAAAGAGGTCATATAGTATTTATTTCTATTGTCCATTAATACGAAGTTACTTAAATAAATACTGTTGCAGATCTTCAATCCCCTATCTTAACTCTTGCGGCTGAATGTGTTTGAGACTAGAATATTTCAGGTTTTAGAAAACACTGCATGGCTTATTATAGCACGGCACCGAAGGGAGATGTGAGGTAGTACTGCATGATCAAACACATTCATGCTTCTTGCAGAAGTGCAGGAGACAGATGGAGGGTACGCATGACGGGCCTCCTGGCACCTGCTGGCTGCAGAGCCCAGCCCAATGGTCTGCTCTGACCCTGAGGGTGCGGCTTCACCCTTGGGTCAACCCCTTCAGGTTTACTACTGCTCCAGCACAAGGTGACCTTCCCCATCTGGCGCAAGAGGCTGCCCCCAGCCCTGCCTGACCTCCACTTACAGCACCCCAAAGCACTCATCCTCCACCTCCCCCAGTCTCTGCACAGGCTGCTGGTCCCTCAGCCTGGAACACCAGTCAAATCCCCTCACTTTCCAAAGATGGTGCCACCTCCGCCAGCCCCAGTGCAGTGACTCCTTGGTACCCCACCTCCCTCTCTGTTCTCCAGCCTCCCTACCACACAGGCCTGTTGACGAACCTCCAAGGAAGTGCCAAGGATGAGCAGCAGGTCTGCCATTGGGAAGTCAACCACATGCAGCAAGAACCTGGGGGGCAGCGGCTCCCCAAAGAACACGATGTCGGGCTTCACGAGGCCAGAGCAGACTGGACAGTGGGGGATCCTATCCGCCATCACATCAGCCTAGGGAGATGCAGAGAAATGGCTAAGGAAGATGTTACAGCACACCTTAAAAGAAAATAGCAACGACTTATTAAGAAGATTTCAAGGTTCACAAAAACTGAGAGTGGAATAATGAACCTCCATGAACCCAGCTTCAGCAATTACCAACATTTTGCCAATTGTTTTACACAGTTCTCCAAAATTTGAGGGAGGGTTCATGTACATAAATCCTGGCCCAGCTGTGGGGGCACACACAGAGGGTAGCACTGCCTGGTTGGCTGAGGCCACATGGGATGCCTGGGTTTAGTTCCCAGCCCAGCCTAAGTAGGCCAGGTCCAGTGGTGCACAGCTTAGGCCTGTGCCCTACCAAGCTGGGGGGACTGGGGCAGGAGGATCACAACATCCTGAGACACTGCTAAAAGTAGCTCTCTAGCGCCGACAGGCGGCCGGTGGTGGTTAAGGGAACTGGACTCCCACATGGCTGACAATGGTTCGAGTCCCGAACCTGATGGCTTGCTTTCTCACTATCCCTTTCACTCTCTCTGGTGAAACTGAAAAAGAATAATGAATAAAAAATAAAATAAGTGGATAATTATTACAAAAAAATAAATAAATAAAAAGCTTTCTACTGGAGGCCAGCAGGTAGCATAGTGATTAAGGTTCTGGAATCCCACTGGCTGACCACAGTTCAAGTCCTAGACCTGGCGGCTTGCTTTCTCACCACCACCCCCACTCTCTCTCTATGATGAGTGCATGTGCCATACAGCAAATTTAATAATAATAATAATAAAATAATTATTTTTAAAATGTTTAAATAAAAAGAGCTCTCCACCTTCTGCACACTCTCTTTCTTATTTAAAATAAAAATAGTGCACAGGAGAGCCTGGCTATCACATGATCTCACCATACATCTTAGGTGATCGGGAAAGTCACGTTTCTCTATACAAAAATGCATCATGCCTTCCCCAGCAAACCAACACCTGAGCAGATATCTAGCATGTCAGCTCCTGTGCCCTGCACCTGCGGTGGTGCTCAGAGATTTTTTTTGTTTTTTTTTTGTTTTTTGAGAAGTTTTTTCTATAGGGCGCGTGCGCTCACCAGACAGACAGAGACATAGAGACAGAAAGCGAGAAATCACCCCCCAAGGGGGATGGTCACATCGCAATCCCTTCTCCTCCATTCTCCTCTCGGGATCTTGGGCACGCATGCATAACGCGCCCAGCGTGAATTTAAGCCACCGGGTCCGGGACTCAAACTGCGGTCGACTACGTGGGAGTCCAGCGGCATAGCCATTAGGCTAACTGTTGGTCCCGGTGCTCAGAGATGTTAAGGTGCTGAGGAAACACTGATGGGCCACACAGTCCTCCAATGGTATCTGCAGGCATATGGCCAACAACTGGCATTACTGGGTGAGCAAGGAGGTAACCTGTCCCTGGTTCAAGCTGCAGTGACCATGGTGTCGCCACAGCCCTGGGAGACACTGAGGTCAGCTTCAACTCACTGGCATTGTCAGGAGTAACAACATCTGCCAAAGTCTGCCTCCTTTCTGCCAAGTTGAAAAAGATGCACATTATGACTGCATCCTGCTGTACCTGGATGAATGCACTGGGCCAGAGGGAGAGAGGAGACCGGGTGAACTACCCCTGGCTTTCAAGATACGCCTTTACGCCGACTGGGACTGTTTCCTCGGTTTGAATCTAACAAGAACCACCAGAAACAATGGACGAAAGAAAGCACCCCCTCCCGAAGACTTTAGACGTTATTAGGTACAGAAAATAAAACCGTAGTATGCTTAAATTAAAAGGAAAAATAAATAAGGCAAGCTTGAAATATCTATCAAAGATAGAAAACTATTAAAAAAAACAGTAGTGTATTTGAAAAAGAACCAAAGAAAACTTCTATAATTAAAAGGAACCAAATTAAAACTCAATGGGAGGGGATGGCATGTGGCATGATGGTTAAGGTGCTGGACTCTCGGGAAGCCGACCATGGTTCGAGTCTCAGTCTTGGTGGCTTGCTTTCTCACTTTCCATTGATCTTTCCCTGCCTCTGTCTGTCTCTGGTCAAATTTTTAAAATAATTGAATAAATAAATGGATGAATAAAGTTAAATTAAATAGAGCTAAATTCTTAAAAAAATTAAATGCTTCCTCCCCCATGAATGCATCCTTACCTCCAGGGAAAAATTGTGTTGTAAGAGTTAGAGGGGCCAGGAGATGGTGTGGTGATTAAAAGTGTTGGACTCCCACATGGCGGAATGTGGTTCAAATCCTGGACCTGGTGGCTTGCTTTCTCTCTCTTTCTCTTCTCTCTCTCATTGTCTGGTCAAATTAAAATAAATAAATAATAAAATAATTATATAAAAAAAAAGAATTAAAAAACCTGGATTTTCAAATTCCAGGTCTAAGTGACCTTCAGCAAGCAGTTAAACTCTAGTAGTGTGTTTTTCATTTACACAGTGGAGATATAAACTTCCTCATGTGGTACCTGTAAAGGTTCAATGGGATTGTTAACGTGGTTCCTGCCAAGGTACTCAGCGAAGGTTCAAGCAGTGGTGGTAGTGCAGTCATACAAAACAGGATCACCTGGAGTCTCTGGGCCTCTGTCAGGCAATGTAAATTACATCTCCCTCTGGATTTTCAGCCCTTACTGAGTTCTAAATTAAAAAAAGAGAGAGAGAAACCACAGCTTTGCCTTGTCTTGAAGTAATAATGAAGCATTAAGGGCTGGATGGGAGTGCACTGGTAAAACGCATGCTCTGCAAGGTTGGCTCTCATGGGAAGCTCCTGAGTTTGCATCCAGAATCTCCGTGAACAGACTAGGTATGCAGAAGTGCCCAAGATCCGGGAGTGGCTGAGGCTAGGCACGGACCATCCCATCGGGGAAGAAGTGTTACTGTGCATTCGTTATTGTAGCCATTGCTATTGTATGCTAGTTTCCTCTTCTCCCTGCCAGATCTTGACTTAACCTTTCTGTATTTGCAGTCCAACAAGGAGTTAACCAAAGACCGAGATTCCCTCAAGCTGGAGTTATATGAGAACAAGTAGGATGGGGGAAGGCGGGAGGGAGGCCTGGGAGTCTTACCGAGCGAAATACAGTAGGAGATGGGAGGGTGAGCATGCCGAAGTGCAGAGCTCAGTGTAGTCCTAGCTAAGTGCCACCTAGGACTTTGATCCTAGGGTCCTATCCGGTATCATGGTTCTGCTAAGGGTAGTGGGTTGTGCACCTAAGTGGGCCTATATGTTTTTTGCTCATTCTCTTCCACTGCCTCTGGTCATAGCAAAAGCAATGAAGACCTGAAGAAGCTGATCTCTGAACTAGAGGAGAAGCTTCGACTGCTCACTGCGGAAAAGGCAGCTGGGCAGCTAAGGATGGAAGAGCTCCAGAAGAAACTGGAGATGTCAGAGCTCTTGTTACAAGTGAGAGATAGCAGCCCCTGGGAGCATGACCCCATGCAGCTGTGGCCGTGGTCGCCATGAATCACTGGGTGGTCTGCAGCCACAGTTAGAAAATTCAGATCCTTGATTTGGTCCTGTCATAGGCTTCTTTTGAGATTGCTAAAAATCCACAAATAGGGACCCTGCTTAGCCCTGCAAAATCAGTCTTAGGGGTAGGATATTGTACCATTTTTATTTCTCCCACTAGGGCCCCTTTGAGCACCCTCCTCCTATTTGGTTCCCCTGCCCTCTACCTTCTCTGGACCCCCAACTCTTCTTGACGGG